ACAATGCCTTGCTCGGTTGACGTCCAGGCCGCGCTGATGTCGCCACGTTTGAATGCGGAACGACACCTGCGGCTCCTTTGCCAGGACATTCTTCACCGTGGAATCCACCAAGGCTCTTCTCAGACAAGCCACCTGGTTGATACCGCTTCAGGACCTCCAGGATGATCGCACCTGCTGTCAACTTGCGAGCTGCCACTACTTCTACCTTCAACGAGATTGGAAGCGCGGCCAACAACATTGAGGCCACTCTGCTCTCCAGGCGTGTTGAGTTGGGTCTCACATCGATTTCAACGTTGAGCCTCGTGAGAGCATCCGAAGCCAGCCGCGTTTTGTACACTTGGCCCACATGGTCCATCAACTGTTTCCACCGTTGTCCCGCCGAGGTGCTCACTGATCTCGGCCAGCCAATCCCCACATCGAAGTGCTGCTTGATGAGAGCCTTCATCTGGCAACTTTGGAACCACCACGTTGACGGCCGCAGGTCATCTTTTTCTCGTTGAAGTGGCTCCCCCGTCACTGCACCACCCATAGTGCCATAGTGCCTTCCCCTGCGCTCTGATGATGTTCTTGCGGGTGTCCACAACTTGCACCACTTGTTGACAGGTTTGGGGGAGGAGGTGGTGGTATCGTCATTTTTCCCTCTCCGATCTCACCCCTTGACCTTGTCCTCCCCGTTGTTGAACACACTCCACAACCCATTTGCCCGCTGCCACAGCATAGCACACTGCCTCCTGGTGCTGGGTTTCTTGGTCACGGAGCTTTCCTCAAATTTCCTCAAGTTCCCGCTCAAGCCATTGCATCCTGACTCGCTGGTACTTGTCGACCATCTGTCCATCATTTCCACCACGTTGAGAGCCTTGTCTGAGATGACATCCCAGCTCACACGGTCGCTGCCGCTTCGTCCTCCGCTGCCATGCCCCTTCCCATGGTGTTCTTGTAGTTCATCTTCGCGACGATCGCCCCCACATTCTTTAGGATGTAGGACTCCGCCTTCAAGCCACATTCCCCGACCACCGCATAGATGTTCTTGTACTCCACGATCGTGTCCTTGTAGTACATGAAGTCGTCGTTGTGGGGTTGTCCAATCACTGGGCGTTCCCTGAGCCTCACTTGCCCATGGCCATGGAGGCAATTCCGGTAGGTCGGGCAGGGAGTCTGATCTGCAGGCTGCTGTCTTGAGGCATCCTTCTTCAGGAGCTCAACTTGTTGCCGAAGTTCATCATTTTGCCTGCGTAGCTCCCCCACCATTTGCCATTCAAGTTCACGCAGTCATGCTCGATGCACAGGTTCGTGCCGTTGGCGACGATCACCATGATGACCTTGTACTCGTCGATCTCCATGGATTTCTTCGGCGTCCGCCCTCTCCCTTTTCGGTCGGGCTTTTGCAGCTTGTCCTATCCAACTTCTTGGAGGCATTGGAGGGTCATTGCATCCCTGCTGTCGTTCCTCTTGAGGTGCACTCATGGCTGGCCAACCAGCGCTGATCTTCACCTTCTTTTCTCGATCTTCGGTGTCTTGGGCCGCACCTTCGTCGCAATCACCTTGTCCACCACCACACATGCACTGATTGCTCCCCCTTCACGCCCTCTACCACGCCCAGGATCCTGCATGTCCTCCAGCGGCCATTGCTCTTCCGCCTCAAGGTCCAGCGTGTCCTCCAGCAGCTCTTCTGACCCTTCGCCAAACAAGCTCAGCTCCGACTCGCCTTCAGGCACCACCGGCAGATCCTTTGGTCGCGCAGCTTGCAGTCGAGCTTGTTCCTGGATGTCAGCTGGCCAATATGGATTCACATTCGCGCGCGACATGGCGGCCATCAACCACACTGCACGCACTGCAGTTGTGGGTGGACTTCACGCCCCAAGCGTTGGGCTCATAACCTGAGTGGCGGAGCACGCCTTTTTCTCAGGCTAGAAAGGGCCTGCGGTAAACAGGCATCGATCGGCTCGGTCATGTCACAACCTATGGCTGTGTGGTCAACTTCTATATGTCAGAAAATGTGAGTGCATCATGGACATATTTCCTTGCAGAATCAATGTCAAGTCTGGTCTTGAGAGTGTGCTCAACCAAAGCCTTCGCATTAGCACTTTTGACGCTGCTTTGCACTGTTGTCCTTGAGCAGACAGGTCTTCATCTGTCAACAAAGTTCTCAATAAAATGCGGGGCTTGCACGTTCTTCAACTTTAATGGATCTGTGCCTGCAACTTGTTAGGCACGCGGCGCCATCAGCATTTCAGGATCTATATAAGCGCGCTACTTTTCTCCCAAAAAGGCCCATGACAGAGTTGGTGCCAACAAAATGCCAGGTTGTTTATATAGAGTTCAACAACAGCAATGTATGTCCTTTGGCGTCTACCTCCCAAGCAATGATGTAATTAGATGGGTACACGTCTGCACTCTAGCACCTGGATCATCATTGCGCTGTGGGCATGGTCCTGGTGTCACTTAAAGAGACTGCGGCCCCCATACTCAATGACAACATCATGACCTCTACACCTCTTGTCCTTCTCTACGGAGTTCTATATGCTTCACACCACACAAGGTGAGCCGGACAGACTTGATGGGATTTTGCGCAGCTTTGATGGGAGACCCTTCCACCCATTCTCATTTGGAACTTCGACGTGAGCTGCAGCGCTGTGTTGAGATCGCCCTAGCCCACGCTCCGAGATCTTGCCCTTCGCGTCCACGAACGGCGCAGGCATTGCAAGTCCCTCTCACTGTCAGGAAAACGGCCCTTGGGTTCTCTTGTATACTTGGTCACCATTGGGTGTCAAGGAGAACGATCAAGCAACTGGTTTTTATAGAACTATATATTTGAATTGTACACAATCCATGGTGGCCCTATCCAGCGTGCGAAGGCTGCTGAACTGGCACGGGTTGAGATGTCTTACCTACATATGGATGGCAACACTTGAGGGCCCAAGTCAAGGGTTACCGAACACGCATCGAGGCCGTGAACCAGATGTTCCAAGGCTGCAAGCAGGCGGCCCCTAGCCAGGCCACGGCGCCAAGCAAAAACAACCCAACTGGCAGGCCTTTCCTCTCGTCTAACCGCTGTGTGAAAGGGAGCTGACAAGTTTTGCAGGACCCTGCGCCGTTCGAGAAGCATCGTGGAGTCTGCGATCGCCTGCGGACTGTCCTCTCGTTCCAATTTAGATGATCCCGGAGCCTCGGCTAATCCCACCCGGAGTGTAAACCTTTCAAAAATTGTTTTTTCTCTTTCCCAAACCATCCCATTCCAAAAATTAAACGTAACATTTGCCGGCAACTTGACCCCGGCTGCCGTCTCAAAAGGGCAATGGAACGCGTATCCTCAACGGACCAAGCCGCGCACATCGAACAAACTCATGCTGTCTTCGGTAAGTAAAGGAAACCGTGCCATGACCACCAAAGCACGAAGCAACGCTTCATTCGCCAAGCCGGGCCAAGCGCGTCCACAGCGCCAAATTACGCAAATGGGCAGCTTGGCCGACGTGGCTATGCTGGGGGCTGAAAGCTTCAAAGACACGACGCACATGTCATAGTATGCCAGGATACGCCATCATGCTCGCACTAACATCATCTGCTCACTACCGCCCCGCCCTCGATGTCGCCCTTGCTTGTCTCATTTGCTTGTCTCTGTCGGATGTCTCGTTGATGCGGAGGCCACAGAATGCCACTGAGACTAAGCAGTGGGTCAGATCTGCACGGGTTAGATCGCATATGGTTTTTTCATGCAAACATCGAAAAAACAGAAAACACATTTTAAAAAACGAAAATAACATATATGTTTTTCTATTTTCAGCAGCCCATTGACACACAATTGATCATGTGTGACAACAACAGAACCATTCACCGAGGATGCCGCCATGGGTGTGAGTGAGAGGCAACAGTTGACAACAAGCAAGCGTCTGAGACCACAACAGTCTGCAGAATGTTCGTGTCAGACAACGCTCACCACGAGAGTGTTTTTGCATATATTTCTATGTGTTTCTAATTTTTTATTTTATTTTTCAGATTTTTCCAGATGTTTTCATATGTTTCGTACTTTTTCATTTTAAAGATTTTTAAGATTTTGCTCCTGGAAAAATATTTTGTAATTCCGAAACCCTTTACCACGAACCCCCGGCTTGTGAGATGATTTGAGATATATTGATATTTTTTAAGACTTTTGATTCTTCAGATTTAAAAAGATTTTTCAGATTTAAAATGATTTTAAGTGATTTTTAATATTTTCATCTTTTTAGATGTTTTTCGTATATATATATATATAGCGACGGCGGACTAGATAGAAATATTTTTGACTCGGGGCAACATTGATTTTTGGACTTGTTTTTTTGATTTTTTTGACTTATTTCTATCTTTAATTCGCGTGGTATTTACAGTGTTTTGAGAAATGTATGATTTTTATCTTGATTTTGCTGGTATTTACAGCACTTTGGGCACGTGGTGTTGATTTTCACTGGTATTTACAGCACTTTGGGCACGTGGTGTTGATTTTCACTAGTATTTACAGCACTTTGGGCACGTGGTGTTGATTTTCACTGGTATTTACAGCACTTTGGAACGGAAACCTTCGTATTCCTTGCTAT